CAAAATTCATCTATCAAGGGAAAACTGCGGTACCTCTTCATTAAGATTTAAATCAACACTACTATCACTCTGAAGGCAAGTTGTACGTTCACTTCCGAGAACGGTCCTTCCCATGTGCGAGGCGAAAAGCAAAGAAAGGCAGTCTGCAGTAGCCCACCACCTACGCTGCTCAGAAGTTCACGGGAACGGAGCTGGAGAGCAGTGCTACTTGAGTGCCGCCTTAACGCTCCGCAGTCGCTATCCTCAAGGTGCAGCCTCTACATCGATATCATGGTTCAGCAATGAAACACCCACTCCGCGTTAGAGAACAACCAAAAGTGTGGGAGCGCAGACAAGTAGCGTGTTTGGCTATAGTTATGCATGCGGCTTGCCATGCAGCAGCTTGGGCGGAGTGTGCAGACTGTACCTATTCTCTCCGCATACTTCAAGGGCTAGGACATAGTGAGATGAGGGTGCAGTTTCTCTCTTTAAAGGTAAAATATTTGGCTGAAACCCAAGTTTCTATAGTACGGGCCTGGATTATGGCAGCAGCCCATTTGGCCCTGGAATTGACAGCTGCAAAGGATTCTGTAGGACTTATCATAACTCTTGCCTCTCATGGCCAGGAGCCTGTCTTTGTCTTCTGTTTATCAACTGGAGAGACGGTGTACAGAGTTTGCTATGTTTCAGCGCAAGAAGCACATCGCCTATGTGGCTCCAGAATCTCATCATTCAAACTCGTTAATGGACGGTGACTCGTCCACAGAGGATGAGTTGAGCGCGATGCAACGAGGTCGCCATCGCCGAAGTCGCTCGAGTCGCGGCGGTTCGCGATCGTCCGTTGATGTGTCGCGACGTGATCGCGGCAGTTTGTCGCCATCAGTACGTCGTTCTCCTCTTGCTATCGTCAAGGATCGCAATCACGATATACGACAGCGGTAAGTGCTCAGTTATCGTTTTCTGTTTTTTCAATATTGATTTTTTGCTACAATACCTGCAGTAACCGCATAGACAACTTATAGTTGATATGGTCGTAATCCGGTGGGGCAGGAGCGTGCAAGGAGCCACCCGCGACTGCGTTTTCTACCAATAGTGGCCGACTTAGGCAGCATTTAGACTTCGCGATGACGCGCATTTACGCGCTGCAACGAGCGACGACTGCTGCAGCGGAACATGAAACAGCGCTCCAAGGCGACGTGAAGGTGCGGCAGATGGGAATCGATCGGCGCTTGCGTTGCGCATTGAGAGAGTATGGGGAACAGGAAAGTACGCGTTGCCTACTTCACACATTCTAATATCGATCGGCATTGACCGTTGGGGCTTTGTGAGAGTGTAGAAGAATGGGAGAGTACGGATTGTAAGAAGGCAGCGCCCGCTCTCCTCTAACCCTATACTTTTCTGAGTCACAAGCGGCAGCACTGTTCCGTCGCGGCTGCTCCGCCTCTATAGGACAGGGCGTTGTCAAATTGTAGCGCGTAGACGCGCGCTACGGCGCGTTACAGCACGTCGACGCGCGATTCGCGAAATCTGAACGCTGCCTTAGGTAGATAACAATCACTGGTGGGCGGCGCCACGGACGGGCTCATTCCACGCCTCCTGACACCGCCTCGCCGGATTGAGACGATCGTTACTGCACTTGATTGAGATACTCCACTGCTATTTCTATTGTGATGAGGAAAAGCCCTGGTGGAATGTAGAAACGCTTCAGGAAATTTTAGACCTCAGCTGGGTTTATAGTTCAGGTGGATCTTCTTTTTGAACACTTTCTGTTTAGGTACCCATCCACGTCGTCCGTGGCTTCAAGCACAAATCGATCGAAACAGAGTCGAAAATCAAGCACCGTAAGTTCCGTTCGCTTCACTTTTCAGGAACAGCGGTTCAGGACTTGTCTCGTCGAGGACAACTTTCGCCGATGTCCTTTTTTCTGGTTCTTTTGGGTGGTTTTCCAAGATTACCCTGCATACTTATCGCCCCCACCGTTGCGCTGAATCGGACAGTTTCAAGGTTTTGTCTCTTTGTGTCATGGTGGCCTTAATGTAAGCGCTGTAAAACCGTTAGTCACTTTCCTGTGAGTTCTGCTATGGTTTACTAGCTTCAATGCAGGAGATGACCTTCTTCCTGAAGGCTTTTCGACGTTCTCTTTCTCTCTCATTTCATTTCTACTGACTGAGTATCAGGCTCGCTGTTCAATCAGTTCATCATTTATCAGCTACCATAGCACCAGAGAGTTCAACTTCCTGGTCCTTGTGATCGTTCCATGGATTTTCAGAACTCTATAAACTTCGGCGGTTTATCAAACTCCATCACAGGATGATAGGTTTCCAAAGTTTTTAAGGGATCAACTGTAAACGAATGAGTTATTGATTAAGTGCGGAGTTCTGCCAATCACCCGAATTTCGTACCTCACACTCTTGTCACGTTTTTTCTTCCAAAATAATTACTTCTGCTTTTGATTGATTTTCAAATAATGAGAAGTTTGTAGGCGGGGACATAAACCAACACCTACGTGCTTTCTTATTATTTACTTACCTTTTCGCCAAGCCAGGTCTCTTGACCCTTCCTCAGCTTCATTATAAATCTGAGCGGCTAATCTCAAATTTTCATGAGTTTCGACATAGTGTGAGGCCTCCTTCGATCAGTGATAAACTCTTCTTCAGTTTGCAAAAAAAAACTTGATGGCAGTTTTGTAGAAGCTGGTCATCTGCGACGTTCAGGCGCTGTTGAAGACTGCAAGGCCGAAGCCGTAGCCAGGGCGCGTTCTGTCGTTTGATGAATTATTATGCAAAGTTAGGATCCCTTCGTTAATTTTGCCGTCACAGCCCCCCGCCCCCATCCTTCGACTTTCCCCGTCCTACCACCACCCTTCTAGATCTTCCTCGATTTTCCCGACTTCCTGCCTGTAACGTTCTTCCCAGTTTTCGATGGAACCTTCACTTTCCACATCTTTACGACCATTTTTCTGGATCTTCCTGAAATTTCGGCTTTTCTATCCTATCCCCAGTTTTTGCAGAACCATTTCTCCAAAAAAACGTCGGAAGTTTGTAAGTGGAAGGAGGGGGGACCAGGACTTGGGACAAAAGCCGAAGAAAAGTCAGCAACCGGAATTTATTATGATATGGCTAAGTTACACCACATAGTCCCCCCACTCAAGGAGATCCCCAACGTACGACGTGTCGTGATCGAAGCAATGAAGTGTTTTCAATTCCTTTGCTGTGGCTGTATGATCTCATTCGGAAATTAATGAAGTTCTTACTCAAGTACAAGTTGGCCTCTGATTTTCCATTCCTGGGGAACAGAACACCGAAACAGATCATGACACCAACTTGTAAGTTTAGCTAGGAAAAGGTGGAATATTTGGAGATTCCTTGCCCGCAAATACAGGAACCGTCGCAAGGAACCTTTGGAGATTTATACGCCGCAAAATGAGTTTCGCATGTCAAATAGAGAAGGAAGCTCATGCCGGTCGCAGAGTTCACACTGTTCCTTTAGGCCATGGGGGTTTTCCAGTTTTTGCAACCTAGAATCCTACCTTACACAGCGCACACGGCTCTTGTAGTTCCGGGACAGCTGTCTCCATTTCCTGTTCTGAATCGTTATTGAAATAAGGAATCGTTGCGAGGCTTTCACCTCGTGAAGCCGGTTTGCGTGCCACGTAAGAATGCCGTTGCTAGCAATAATCCAATTAAAGCAGGGTGCCGCGGATGAGATAAAATTACAAAAAACGGGTTCTACCTGATTACAAAACCGGGTTCAATCTGTACACGATGACCTCATCAATCGATTTTCTTCAGCTGAATAACTGTAAATTGCCGAACGAGGGCGTGCACACAGATAGTTTATCGTCTGTTGTGACGTATACGTTGACTAAATCTATCAAGCAGACGCTGCATTGCTCTTCTGGCTGCCCACATTCCTCTCACATCCTCTGTCATCCTTTCCTCTCTTCCACTGTTCTTTTAATTTCGGCTTATGGGACCCATCAAGTGATCTCAACTGAAAGTTGCGCGTGAGACTCTTCCATATAAGTACTTCATTACCTCTAAAAACAAGGAACACGCCATAGAAATGTGGAAAATTAGTTTTAGCACATTTCCCTCCACCGCTGCCGTTTTCACGGCCCCTCAGACTAGGAGCCCTATTCCAACTGGTCTGACTCAGGGCACAGCATCCGTTGTGAACACAGTGGTGGTCGTATATGGCTGCTGGAGGAGGAGGATTGTGTTCATTTTGTTGAAATCCTAATCTGATTGCTGGTTTTCCCCATTTTAAACATTGCACTGGAGCCTTCCACCATGGACGGCAAATTTTCGAAAAAGACTTGCTCGGAGGGAAGGTAGTTCGTGGATGGAGTCGTCACGAAGGGAAATTTTTTTGGAAAAAGGGTCGTTTTCAGCCGGAAATTTTCAAATTTCAAACAACCCACTGGTTTCATTTGTCTCTGTCCGCTTACCTTCAGTGTTCCAGAACGATAGCTCGTCAGTCGCTGCGTGGTCAGCTCACTCTAGCCAGGAAATAATTTGAAAAAATGCTCCATTTTCCTTGTTTCAAGAAAATGACCAACTAGAATGTGCCATGTGCTTGTTTGCCCCTCCTTAATCCTCTACACTTCACTCCTTCCATATGTCTATTTTCCTGCCTACGAATTTAAGTTTTTTTTTTCAAGCGG